CTATTAATCGCAGACCTGATTGGAAGAAAATTTGAGGTGATGAGCAGAGTGCGGAGCTCTGAGTTAGGTGTTTGGGGTTAGGGTTTATAAACAGAGAAATGGACGAATTTGTACCGAAAGGAAGGTGGTGGCTTACTAGAGAGCTAGGGTTTCAACGTGCGGCTGCGTTTGCTTATATAGGATTTTGCGTTACTGCTTACGGTAGGGTTTTTATTTTGTCTTGCTTATTTTTTAATTACTTCACTTTCTTACATTCTTTTTTTTTTCTTTTTGCCAAGTAGTAATTCATGTGGCCGTTAGTGTATTTTCCCTCCGGTGGGAGCGTGGTGAGGTGCAGCGACTTGTAGTACATTGGAATTCCTCGCTCTGGCGTGCTTGTACCTTGATTCTTTCTTTCCTTTTTTACCTCTTTTTGTCTACTTGGACTGGGGCCTCGGGCCCAATTTATTTTCCCATTCTGGAAAATATAAATAAATAAAAACTTGGGCTTGAACTTAACATGCCAAACTCAGACCCAAAAAAAACTTATCATGCCAAACTAAAACTGAACCAAACAGGCTGGATTCGGTTTGTTTCATCCATGACTATAGTTAAAAGCGAACATAATTGATCCATTAAAAAGTACTCGGCCGCAGGTTTGGTGTGAAACCTATTAGAACCGGATTGGATTGTGGCCTTCGGCCACCCCTAATATTCTGCATAATTTGTTCCAGAAACCATGAGGGGCTTTGTAATAGATCATAAAGTAAGACAGCAACCATGGGCTAGGCCGAGGAGTTGGCCCAACCATTATGTGCAATGGGATTATAGGGCCTAAAATGCATTTCACTCCCTTGATACAAACATGAACAAAATAAGATGGCTTATTATCACAAAACGTCCCTAAGGTTTATGAAATTATTAGATTGCATCCTTAATTTATTTTTTTTTTGTCACTCGTGGTTCTCAAGGTTAGCATGTACGATCACAAATAATCCCTGCTATTAGGTTCTATCAAAACCTTCGTTAGTTTGCTGACATAGCATATATATATATATATATCACAAAACATTCCTGAGGTTCATACACTTATCACAAATAGTCTTTACAAATTTTTTTTTTTTATTTTTTCATTTAAAATTCATAAGATTTTGATTTTCTTTTTAAAATTATTTATGAATGAAAAAACCTTTTATAAAAGGATTTTAATCTTGAGAACCATTTATGAACCCTAAATCCTTAGTTTTTTTCATTTTTAAATTTTATGATTTTTTTTTTTTTAACTTCATTAGTTTTTGATGTGGCATATATATGGAGCCCACATCTACAATAATACAATGTCACATATATTTAAAATTCATACAATTTTAAAAAGAAAACAAAAAATTTATGTATTTTAAATTAAAAAAATTTAAAAATTTGTATGGACCATTTGTAATAAGTGCGTGAACCTCCATTTGTAATCACACATACTAACTTTGAGGACTACAAATGACACAAAAAAACATCAAGAATGCAATCTAATAGTTTCGTAAACCTTAGGGACATTTTGTAATAATAAGCCAAATAGAATTGACATAGAGAGGACAAAAATTATAATTCCATTGACACATTCTCACACTCGGATCGAAAACAACATGGAATTTATTTCTGTAAGATGAGAAGTTGCCTATTCTTCCACCTAAACTTCAAAAATATTGATACCGTCCAAAAAAGCCGATGTTCATTCAGAGAATCAAAAGAAACTCGAAGAAGAAACGCTAACTGTTAAGAATGAAGATGATTTGAGGATCGTATGCTCTCAATGGACTAGAAAACCAGAACAAGCAAACCAATGAAATGATGATACCTACAAAGGTGCACTCGGAAGATATCGTCTCTCATACAATCCTATTACTTGGTCAGCCACCGTCCACATAATGGCCTGCCCAGGTGGTATCCGCATGAGCCGAGGCAGCAGTCCTTTCCACAAGGCAAGAAGCCCTTCCTCTGCATATATTGTCCTGATAGCATGGATCATGCCTTTGTATTTCATCTGGCCATCCACACCTCGGCTCTGAGCCATCAGTCTTGTTTTCACAACATCAAAGGGACCCGTGCAAACGGGACCTGCTGTGCCTGCTAGGAAACCCGATATCATAGACTGCCATGGCAGCAGGACCCTCCCATCTCCTTCATGTTTCTTCCACAAGAGAACGTCAAAGGCATTTTTGGCTGTAAACATGGCAGCCTGATTCGTCCCATTGCGCATAACAGTTGGAGCAGCCCCTGACCAGAGCCCAAGGATACCTTCCTCCCGGATGATCATACGAGCACAGTGAATAGGACCCTTATACTTTAGAAGATCATGACTCAATCCCTTCTGTTGCTGCAGTCTAATTTTCACCACCTGCACCAATAAAATTCCAAGTCAACTTCTTAAGTCTTCCCATTATTCATGAAGACAATGCTCACAATGAACATGTATAATTTTTTTATTGTATTCAATGAACAGATCAGCAACTTAAACTTAAAGTAACTTAACCAGCTAACCACGACAGCTGCAAACTAAGTTTAAGTAATACAACTTGCAGAAGAATTTAAGCAATCCCAGATTGATGCTTACAGTTCATACATGTTCAACTTCAAACCAATGCTTACAAACAATGAAGAGAATGACTTTAATAAGTGTAATGAGCAATTCAAAAGCTAAGCTGGTTCCTCAATAAACAAAATGATTTACTATCTTCCCTGAATCTTCTTATCAGTCATCAAAATTTCGAAGTAATTACTGAGACCCTAAATGCCCAGCTTCTAAATTATTTAAATTCTCTGTTAATGAACTGAGTTAAGCCACAATTGCCAGAGCATAGAGAAATCCACAAATGAAAATTTTAAGCTTTTCTAGAATTATCAACTGAAACCAACGACACAAATCCAACCCACATTCAAATAACCATAGAATTCCCCAAAAAAAAAAAAAAATCATTTGGAATTGAAAACTTGAAAACAAATGCACTAACCTCAAAAGGCGTAACGATAACAAGAGCTTCAAGAACTCCAGCTCCAAACCCAGAAATGAGCCGCCCGTGATTGCTGACCTTCCCAGTCTCAGCGTCCTTGAACGCGCCCTGAAGCACCGCATTGGAGCCCATCCGAAGCGCATACTTCAAGGTCAGGTGAGTGGCAAAGGGGGTCAAGCCCTTCCAGAGAGCGCGAACACCTTCGGTGCGCGAAACCGTGGCGCCGCAGTGGATAATTCCCTTGTAGGCGCCGGTCCGGTCCAGCTGGAGCCGGGTCTTGATGACGTCGATGGGCTGCAGACACGTAGCCTCCACGATTCCCCCGAGCGAACCGGACAAGGCCTTGACGTACGGCGGGATGGGCCTCTTGGTTGGACTCGCCGTCGAATTGGGGCTTTCATTTTGGTTTTCTTTCATGGTTTTGTGACACTGAATCTCTCTGTGGGAAATGAAAACAGGGTTTTGTTGAGAAGAAGAAGAGGAAGAAGAGAAATTCGTCTCTCTCTTCTGTTCTCGTCTTCTCCTTTCTCATTCGTTGTGGAGGTGACTGCCCTCTTCTACTTTGTTCGTTAATAAAGAATTAAGCAGCCATGAGGGGTAATTAATTAGTGGTAAGTACGGTGCGTTTTGTTTTGCTGTCATAAGCATGTGTTTTATGCTTAAACAAACAACAAATGGTGACGATGAAATGAGAATCTTTAGTTGGAGACGCCGTGACTCGGGATTTGTCGCAGCAAATTCAGGTGGCCTCGTGTTTTGGATCTGATGGGCCGCCGGCTTTGGTGGTAGGTTCCACACAAGCGGGCTTTTTAAGCACAAAATGCCCCTTCAAACTTGGGCTATAATTGTTGGCCAGTCCCTCAATGAGAAACATGATGGTTACAATTGTCTCAAGGCCATTTGAGGCCCACTTATATGGTCCACTAAAGTTTCAGACTTTAGACGTGGTACCGTACGACTCAGGAGCTTCTATAATGAAAGGTTATGTTGAGAGACTGACTGGATTTGTAGTTCAAGTGATTAAGAATCATTACCAACTCTCGTGTCGCATACATGTTCAATTCAGTTGTTTATATGATATAAAAAAATTATTGAATTTAAACATTTTGATTGACCATATGACTTAATATTTTATTCATTAAAATCATCATTATCATTATACAAAGTGAAATAAACTTGTGTCCAACGAACTTCACCACATTGATCATGCCATTAGAGAAAACATTATTTGGTACCAATTTAGAGCATGTCCACCGCTGCACCAAACTTAGGCAAAAGGCCCCCTCGGCAGCCCATTTCCAGCTCCAGTGCACAGCAATGAGCCCGGGCAAATGGTGGGTCCCACCAGCCTGGGCAAGCCCACGGGCTAATCTTGTCTGGGCACCAAAACTCGGGCTGCTGACGTCAGCATGACGTCAGCAGCTGATTTTCAATTTTTTTTTTACTGTTGGACCCACCAGCCCACATTGCCCAATGATTACATGCCATGTGGCTTCTCCTGGAGCCTCCGATCAAAAAATCTTGCACAATCCAACGGTTGTCCAATTTTTGGCTTGAAAAAATTGAAAAAAATATCAAAAAATACCAATATTATTCACTTTCCACACCAATTTAATTTCAAAATTTTATTGGAAAATGTTATCTTGATTTTTAGGTGAGGATTTTACGATAAATATTAACACTTGGGAATTGAAAATCTTATCCGAAAAGCTTATCAAAATCAATGGATGGAGATGCTCTTAAGGTAGACATTGTCCATATTTGGTTTCCTCCTCATACATTGATGATTCAGTGAGTCACCATAAAGCAATGGACTCGTGTCATTCTTACTGCATGTCAAACACAATTTTCACATACGGAAAACAACTGCGTGTCGACACAGCATGGCTCTAGAGCTCCCCATCAGCCGCGTTTACCCCATTACGTGTCACCTCCTCCTCCTCCTTGCCTCCACCATCACCTAATATATAAACACCCCATTTCCCTCCATTTCCAACTCACCATAAAGAAAAAGAGATTTCAGTTAACTTGACGTACTTTGAGTTTGTAGAGTTTGTGAAAAGGAAAGAGTTTTTAGTTGAAAAGAGATGGCATCAGAAAAAATGGATCCACAGAAAAGAAGGGAGCTGGATGAGAAGGCAAGGAAGGGAGAGGTGGTCATCCCTGGTGGAACTGGTGGCAAGAGCCTTGAGGCTCAGGAGCACCTTGCTGAAGGTTTAATATGTATAATCTCTCTCTCTTTTGTGTATCTCTCTCTTAAGTGAACTAATATGTGATGATATATATGTGTATATGATCGATAGGAAGGAGCCGTGGAGGGCAGACAAGGAAGAATGAGATAGGGCATGAGGGGTACCATGAGATGGGGAAGAAGGGTGGACTGAGCACAACTGACAAGTCCGGAGGAGAGCGTGCTGCGGAGGAAGGAATCCCACTTGACGAGTCCAAGTACAAAACTAACGGTTGTTCTAATGAGTGACTTTGAAGAGCTCCAGCTTCCAGGGCCTCGTTGACTTTACCATGACTTTGGTTTTTGGTGTTTCTAGCTACTACGTGTGTGTGTAATATAAAGTTGTAGTAGGGATGATGGTGTGATTTTTATCTCTAGCTAGCTGGTGTGTTTTTGTTTGACGCCCTTACGTAATCCTTTTGTTTTTTAGTCTGTACAGTTGGGGTGAGCTTCAGTGTTCTCTGCTTTTGTATTCTAGATCTCCATATGATACTTAATAGTGCATCCCATCCTTGCTCTTGAATCTAATTTCTACCTTGAAATCATTATAATATCAGTTTTATGCGTGAGCAAATGATGAAGAGGAACGCCACATCTTTTGTGATAAAACTTTGAGGATTTCACTCCAATGAGAGGCGCACTTGAAGCTAACTTGTAACAAGTCCCAAATCTCAAGCTTCATTTATGCCTCATCTTGTGCAAAGGGATGCTAAAATTGTGTACAACCTATTTGCAGGAACAACAGCATCGGGACGACCTATTCCTCGTCATCTTCTTTTTTGTAAAGGCTTGCCTATGTGTGTTGTTCTCATGATCAATAATAGTCTCAAACTTCCACAGGGGAAGTAGTTGGGCAAAGTTGTCGAACCTCGTTAATGTTGTGTTAGGATAGGTGAAAATTTCGATCCAGTTTTGATGTAAGGAAACGACAACTTGGCTTATCTAAAAGAAGAAAGAAAGTTAGAATTAAGGGCGGAATCAGAGATTTTCCAGACTGGCTTATATAAATAGCAAGAGCAGTGGTCAGTCATAGTTACATGTCTTCATGGACCGGTATTCTTCAGAAGAGTTTTTACAAGCAAAATAAAAAAGGGGATATCATTGGTATGGCGTTATGGCACTTCAATCTTTAGGACACCTGGGATCTATCCATGTTTCCAGGGAAGCTAGCTAATGCTGTTATCTTTATAAGATGGCGATGGCTATCTTTAGTTTTCTATCTCAAATATGTTTTTCTTCCACTTCTCTCAGACTACCAATGAAGAACGAAGCATGCACTCTTTATTTCAAATAATACTACAATAGACAAAATTTACAAAGAAAAGAAGAGAAAAAGAAAAGGCAACCATGAACATAGATAATTAATCCAAAGAAACAGAACAGTAAGAAGGAATGAAGCCAGGATAATGCTAATTCGAACCAATATCCAACCTATCTAGTATGAGATAGCATCGGGTCGATCGAGTAAGACAATGCTCTCAACAAAATAATCCATGAAGCAGTAGAGGCTTGTCCTGGGGCAGTACCCATCAATTCGAAAATCATCACATTGTTTGCTGTTAGGGTCTACCAATTCATAACGCTTGTCATCCGAAGAATACGCAAGCACCACTTGGCCACTCTTTCTGAAACCAAGTGGCCTGAGCACATTTTGTTGTGTAGATATAGTGAATAATTTAGACCAGGATTCTGCAACACCATAGTCTTTCATCACCCACAAGTACAAATGAACATCACCAGGAAACTTCGTATTTTGATGTTTCTCAAAAAAGGCAAAGGCAGTCCCCGTATCCTGAAGCATAGCAAACATTTTTTACCACGGGAGCTTCGCGTGTCCACCTCTTAGTCCTCCTTCTCAAAGCTGATTTGGGCATCAGGATCTTGCCAAATAATTCAGTGGACAAATCAAAGGACACAATGAACTTGTCGTCCCCCTCTGTCTGAATCCAATGCAGAGCACCGTTAACAAGAGCATCGGGTTTATCATTACTAGTAAAGTTTCCAGGCGAGAAGTTTGCAGGAACAACAGCATTACGAAGCCTCTTCCAGCAGCCCCTGGCTAAGGAAAAAATCTCAACTGCACGGGACAAGCGGGAAGGCTTATAATAACTAACACTTCTGAAAACCTTATAGTCATTGGTAAGCGGATCATAGCCAAATGCGTGGCTTTCAGACCCCATGAAAGTAACACCAGGGGGAGGCAAAACAACAAACTTTCTAATACTGGGGTTCCAAATTAATGTCGCAATGTCACCTTCCTGGAGGCATACCAGCCCGTTACAAGTCCCTAACACCTTGACCTTGCAGTTTCTGTTACCCATTTGTGTTGTTTGATTATTGTCTTCTTGACGTCCACTAATTTCATTGTAAGCTACGAATGGATCTGTAAGCTTGGAGTACTCACTGAATGAAGGGCATCGATCCCAATGCAACGAGTAAAATCTTTTTCTCTCTTCCCTGTTGGAAAACTGTAGCAGCAAGAGATGAGCGTCGTCATTTTGGTTGAGGTGTGTATGGATGAAGGCAGAGCTTTGGATTAGAGACCTCCATGACTTGCACACTGCGGTGCATTTGAGTAGATATTTGATGGGCAACAACAGCAGGATGTCGTGAATGATTTCTTCAGGAATATTAACGCTGTTGTCCGTCGGCATTGCTTGCCTACATGTAAATCTAATTCTCATTCTTTTCTTGGGTCTGATATCTTCCGTAACGTTATGGCAGTGGTCCGCCGGCATTGCTGCAGTACATCTAATTTTTCTTTTTTCGGGTGTATTTTTTCAGGAACCTTGTCCGCTGCGATTGCTTCCATTGCCCTGATTAACAATATCTGATATAAGTTTTGTTTTTGCTCTAATTTAATATGGGGTGGGGAGAATATATAGACGTTTCCACCGACCCCTCTAGAAATCCGATTCAACAAAGGAAACATAGCAATAAATAAAGACTAACAAAAAATAAAATATAAACCTGATTCCGTCAGGAAATCTAGGATCCAAAGCTATGGATTTGGGATTTAAGATCAAGCAAGCAAAAAAAAAGAGATAAACCTGATTCCTTCAGGAACTCTGAGAACACTTCCATCCATCTGATTCCCAATCCTGCTATCTTTTTGCTCCAATCGAAGAAACAAAAATAAGGATTTGGGATTATATACCGATGTCCCGACTAGGGCTGGGCTCGGGTTGATGAGAGAGAGGTAGAGAGAGAAATGGGAGAGAGGAAGAGAGCGAGATAAATCAGGTAGAGAAGACAGGAGAAACGGCGCATCAACAATTTTAAGTATTGTGAATTGATTATGTAGTTTGTCCAATTAAAAATAACAACAAAAAAAGGGTACTAAATAGAAGTTGAAATAAAATAAAAATCATTCACTTGTACAAAAATACTTTGGTGGACCAAGAAGTTGAAATGTTTTGAACAAAAAAAAAATTCAATTTAGTACCTAAAGTCTATGGAATTCGATTTGGGGAATAAGTTTCGATTTGGGGGGTCTCTGGAATAACTTCGATTTGGGGAATAAGTTTTTTAAAAAATTAACGAGCACCACGGATATGAGATGCCAAAAATGCCCTTAAATAATTGTCTAGCTAGACCCAACGTAGGCAGATAACAGATTTTCTAACGTTATTGATATCGGAGGGGAAAAATTATAGGGTTTTTGGAAATTTAAGTATGTACTCGTAAATGTCTCTAAAGTTGAGTATGAACTTGAATTGAATTGAATTTTTTTTTTTTGTTCAAAATATTGCAACTTCTAGGTCCACCAAGTATTTTATTTTATTTTTGTACAAACGGCCTTTCAATTCGATGATCTCACCAAAAGGAGAAAAAGGCCCTCTCCAACGTATCATTTTCGATGGCCCAGGCGAGCCCTCCGACGAAGCTTAGAATGATGAGGTTGAACAAAAACTGAGGTGGAAGAATAAAAACTGAAGATGAAGATAAGAAACTGGAGGTCGTGAAATGAGTTATGATATGGCGTTGATTAGAATTCCAATTTTATGTTAAAAGGGTAATAAAAGTATTTCATCTTAATAATTAATTTAAAAATATACAGCTGTTGATTTTTGGGTTTATTTTGAGTGTGTTTATATACATTAAATAGTATAGGGTATTTTTATAGTTTTATATCTAGGAATAGGTATTTAACTAATTTTATAATTTATCATATCCTAATTACTGAAGTTTTTCTCGAGTTAAACCTAATTTTTATTTTTTCCGATATACATTGCCATGTGTAGTGATTCTGTAAGAAAGTCACGACACAATCAAATTATTTCTTTCCAATCACAAAGTCCCAAAACACTCTGTGACAAAATAATAAACCAAAAACCGACAGACAGATCAATTTTAGAAATTTGGTGGGCCTAAGGCCCAAACTATAGGATTCTATCTGGGCCCTCAGCAACCTAATAAGGCCATTTGACTGTTATATAGAGAACTTCTCTCCCAATTGGGGCTCATCATTTTACTTGTGCGAATATTTCACCTCGATTTGATTCAGAATTTCGAAATTTGTTTGCCTTCGTTTCCCTGGCAAGGCAAAACCCTCCTCATTCTTCAATTTCCATAAACAATCACATTTTGGTACTCTCTCTCTCTCTCTCTCTCTCTCTCTCTCTGTTGGTCCTACATAGATTGTGATAGAAATTTACCGGTATCTCAATCATATAGTAAAATCAAGATTTGGAGCTTTCCCCTGGTTTCCCTAATTGCAGAGTTCCATGGATTATTAGGGTTCTTGTAAGAAATAATTTGTTATGAGATTGGTTCAATCAAGAAATAGTTTTTTCTTTTTTCTTTTCTGAAGTATTGCTTCCTTCTGCTTCAAGATATGGGTTTTGATTTTCTCCTTCTTTGATTTTCTTTTGTTAATTTCCTAGGTTATCAGAAGGAGCTATTAACAATGAGTGATTCAGGTGCGGTATGGTATATATATGTGTGTGTCTGTTTTTTTTTTTTTTCCCTTTTCAAAAATTACTAATGGTTCTAATGCTCATCAGGTTCCTCCACATTAAGCTATGAGGGGCCAGTTTCTTACGGTGGTGCGCATGCTCTGGTGGGTGATGGGATTGGTTTTCCAGAGTCGATCAATTTTTCGGACCAAGGTAATTTTCCTTCATACCCCTAGGAAATCAAAAGCTCTTAACCTTTCCTTAAAGATGAGATAATAATTTTATGGCCTTATACGTCTATAGGATTCTACCTAACAGCCCAATCAAACAGTTCGAATAAAATATTTGGGGCATCAAAAACTCTTAAAGTTTAATGACAAACTAACATTACAGGGTATCAAAAAATCATAACTTTTCTATAGGATTCTACCTAGCAACCATGTCAAACAGTTTTCTGAGCATTACCAGAATTGTTTCCCATTAGATAACGTATGAGACGTATTATTATATGTAACGCAATTTCAAGAAACTTATGAGGAACTTTCAGGATTAATAGGACTCTAGTGTACCTTTTTAGTGAGCTCAGTTTTCTTGAATTGTTTCTGGATGATGCAAATTTTCACAAATCACTACACAATGCACATTATGAAATTAGTTCGAATAAAATATTTGGTATGTATTTTTCAAGCATGTTTATGCTTCTGCTGGTTTTCTGGTATAACCACTTGGAACTGTCTTAATGCCAATTAAAACGTGATTCCTTAATTTGTGACTGTGACTTGCTTCTTTTAGCACCAACTACACACATGCAGCCTACCTGAACTTAGCTGTAGAACGATTGTACGATGAAATGATTACTTCTTTCTCAATTTCAAGAAACTTACGAGGAACTTTCAAGATCAATAATAGGACTCTCTAGTGTACCCTTTTAGTCAGCTCAGTTTTCTTGAATTGTTTCTGGATGATGCAAATTTTCACAAATCACTACAAAATGCACATTATGAAATTAGTTCGAATAAAATATTTGGTCTGTATTCTTCAAGCATATTTATGCTTCTGCTGGTTATTTCTGATAGTTTTTGGTATAACGAACTTGTAACTGTCTTGATGCTAACTAAAACTTGATTCCTTAATTTTGTGACTGTGGCTTGCTTCTTCAGCACCAACTACACACATGCAGCCTGCCTGAACTTAGCTGTAGAACGATTGTACTATGAAATGATTACTTTTTTCTCATAGATGACAGTAACCCTTTAATGTCTTCTTTTCTCTCACCCAGGACCTTACAGGCAGATCAAGACCCTACGGCTTTAATTCCTGTCTATCTCATGAGCGGGCAAGCTGGTGACTTAATTGGTGATTTAGATCGCCATTTGCTGCTGAATTACCATCAGCTCAAGTATGAGCTGAAGGTGATTGCTTTTGATGGGGACATCACTGGCCGGTTCTACGTTCTATTCAAAATGGTCAGAGAATGGTCAGAGAAACTTCCAGATGGAACTCAAGCTTGCCTCCACAATTTTATTCACCGACCACTAAAGGAAATGACCGTTGAGGGAATCTATTTGGGAAAGCGCTGGTCAGCAAACTATTCATTTGATATTTAAGTGTTGTAAATTCTTTATGAGAAAAACTAATTTAAAAGTCTTATCAGTGACATAGATGAACCTAGCCCAGATCAACACGAGCAATTGTTGGATGATGATTTAGAACCAGAGGACGATTATCTAGTTCCATATGATGATGAGCCAGATCCAATTGATGGATGGTTTGATGATGATCAAAGAGTCAACCATGAACTCTCAAGGTTAGCATTGATTTAAAACGTAAGGTTAGAATCTCTATCACCATCTTTGTATAGCTTTCTATAATAACCCGGGAACCTTGCTCGAGCCACACAAAAATGGATTTGTAATGTGAGACTTTCAAAGGTAGTGGAAGTGCGCCTAAAGACCCAACTCAATAGTCTTCGTACAAGATTATTTAGTCTCGGTATCAATAAGTCAACTCTAATCTCATCTTGTACGAAGACTATTGGGTTGGGTCTTTAGGCGCACTTCCACTACCTTTGAAAGTCTCACATTACAAATCCATTTTTGTGTGGCTCCAGCAAGGTTCCCGGGTTATTATAGAAAGCTATACAAAGATGATGATGGAGATTCTAACCTTGCGTTTTAAATCAATGCTAACCTTGAGAGTTCATGGTCGACTCTTTGATCATCGTCAAACCATCCATCAACTGGATTTGGCTCATCATCATATGGATCTGGATAATCGTCCTCTGGTTCTAAATCATCATCCAACACTTGCTCGTGTTGATCTGGGCTAGGTTCATCTATGTCACTGGTAAGACTTTTAAATTAGTTTCTAAAGAACTTACAACACTTAAATATCAAATGAAAATAACTTTTTTCTGTTTTCTACAAGTACACATGAACTTGTTTTCATTTTATGAAAACTCTTAGTGTTTTTGGTCCACCGAATGTGTTTTTGCATCATTTTTGTTCTCTGAAACAACCCCTTAAAACGGGGCCTTATCTTCCTCACAATTTGAGACATATGCAAAAATAATTTATCAAAAGCACAAAAAGAAAAGTTTTTGTACGCATGTCACACTGTTATTGGTAAGAACTCCTATTTACATATGTCAGGATCCTTCTTGATAAAATATCGTCACACTCAGTGTACGGTCTCTCTCTCTTTATTTGTTGGGGTCCTACATAGATTGTGATACAAAATGTAGTGGGTATCTGAATCATATAGTATAATCAAGATCACGAGCTTTCCTTTGGTTAGGCAGTTGCAGAGTTCCGTGGATTCTTGTAAGAAATTTTGGTGATTTTGATAGAAAAAAAAGGTGGTTTGTGAGTATAGCCAATCGGTCTTTGTTAAGTAGTTGTTTCTTATTGTTTTGTTCCTCATCAATGGAAAACAAAACCTAGTACTCGGGAAGTACATAAAATTCCTCATATATCTCCACGCGGCGTGAGTCTGTCGGTCTTTCCACAAAACGGTTAAAACAAACCAAAAAAATGCAGAGTAATTGTTGTATCATGTAGTCGTTTCACAACTTAGATTAGAGGGATACAATGTTGCAGACTTCTTAGTTTATTTGACCCCAAAAAAAAAAACACAAGTGAGCATATAAATTAGGGTTTTCCTATATAATTAAAATATAAAATTACACTGATCTTAACTTTCCTTAGTTACTAGTCTAAAAGCCCATTCAATTCTAATTATAAATGGAAAGTTAACACTGATCTTAGGGCATGTTTACGTATCAGTAATGGGGAAAGTAAGAAATCAGAGAATTTAGGAATCGGGGAACTACTGAATCGGTATGGGAAGAATCATTCATATTAAGCTGTTTACTAAACATATGGAATTAGCAAATGAATGAGATTGATTCCCATTGTTATTGTTTACTAATTTGTATGAATCAGAATCCAAATTAATTTTAGAATTATGGTAAAGTGGTAAGGGTATTTTTGAAAGTTATTAAGAGAAAACAAGAATGGGAATCGTATCGACTACTCCCCCCTAGTTGTTCTAATACCTAGTTTTGAGGGAATGTGATTACGGATTAGGTGGGGCCCACTTATTTTTTCATTCCTGATTGCAAGTAAACACAGGGGAAGTCAGGAATGGAAATCATTCACTTTCCTCTCATACCCATTACTAATACGTAAACATGCCCTTAAAGTTCATCTCAGAGCCATCCTAAAAGAAAGGAGAGAATTTATGAAAAATAGCCAAAACTTGATTCCTAATTTCAAAAATGTCAGTTTTTATAAAAAAATTCAAATATAACAGAAAACTAATCTAAATAGACACAAATGCCATCAAATTTAAAACCCACATAAACCTGTAAAAAAAACCTTGCTAAATAAAACTTTGGAATATTTCCTTCAAACACTTTTCCAATCACCCTCTCTATTTCTTTCTTCTTCTGTTTGTCTCCAGCATCACTCCCTCTCTTTTTCTTTCTTCTTCTCTCCATCTCTCTTTCTCTTTTCTTCTTCTCCCGTCTGCATATCTCTTTTCTTCTTCTTCTCATCTTCTTCTCTCCCATACAGACCAAAAATTGACAATGAAACCACAAACATTAGCTATAAAACAAAGTAGAAATTAATACAGCTTTTAAATTAGTCTATGTCATTAGGTTTTGTCCAAAATTAGTCTATGTCATTAGGTTTCGTCCAAAATTAGTCTATCACTAACCTTTGATGTAGGCTCAAAGTGAATTGACGATATTAAATCATAGCACTTTGGATAGGGCTCAAGAGTTAAGTCAGCAAAACCAGAATTGAAATTTTATAAATATAGATGAAGAATAAACAAAGAAACGAAGAAGAAATTGAACGAAGAACCAAGGAAGAATTGCACTCACCGTTTGACTATGACAACAATACGTTTGCGAATGAACCCTACATACAAAGATTCCCAATCTAATAGGGTTTTCTTTTTTAGGTTTATGTGGGTTTTAAATTTGAGGGTATTTGTGTTTATTTAAGTGAGTTTTCTGCTATATTTGAAATTTTTTACAAAAACTGACATTTTTGAAATTAGAAGTCAAGTTTTGGCTATTTTTTATAAATTCTCAAGAAAGGATCATCTCGAATCTCTTGGCAACCGTGCGATTGCACTGGAGCCCGAGTATGAGCTGGGACAAGAAAATAACAGAAAAGAAAGAAACAAGACAGAGAATTAGTGATGACCATGAAGCTATGGACTCGCGTCCTTCTCACTGCATCTTCACTGGCGAAAGCACCTGCGTGTCATCACAGCATAGTTCAACAGCTCTTACATGTCACCTCCTCCTTCTCTCAGCCTCCTCACTCACTTTCCAAGCCTCCCTCTATATAAGCACCCCATTTCCCTCCAATTCAACTCCGCATATTATATTAGCAGAGATTTCATTTCAACTTCCAATATATAGTAAGTTCAGAGTTTGTGAGAAAGACGAAGTTCATAGGAGATGGCATCAGAGCAGGAAAGAAGTGACCTAAGCAAAAGAAAAGAACTAGACGAGAAGGCAAGGCAGGGAGAGGTTGTTGTCCCTGGTGGAACTGGTGGCAAGAGCCTCGAGGCTCAAGAGCACCTTGCTGAAGGTAAACTAAAACTACTCTTTCCATGGCTTTTGTTTTGTGTAATTGTTTCGCGGGTCTTAGTGTAATTCCACATTATTAACCTGGCTAATTCTGTATTTTTGTGGTGGTGAAGGGCGGAGCCGCGGAGGGCAGACACGGAGGGAGCAGGTGGGTCAGGAAGGGTACCAGGAGTTGGGGCAGCGTGGCGGCGAGACTAGGAAGGAGCGGATAGGCCAGGAAGGGTACCGTGAGATGGGGAAAAAAGGAGGGCTCAGCACCAAGGGCAAGTCTGCAGGAGAGCGTGCTGCTGAGGAAGGCATCCCCATTGATGAGTCCAAGTACAAAACCAAGAGCCGCTGATATGATCATTATTGACTTTCCACGCTCAAGGCCTCTCACTTTGGGATTTTTTTTATTTTTATTTTTTTTTTGCTTCTAGTGTTTTTGTTCTAACTAGAGTTGTAGGATGGTTTCTACTGTCTTTGTATTTCCTAGTTGGTTGGAGTTTTCTTACTTGTTGCCCAAGTATGTTGTCAGGATAGAGTCTGAACTAAGAAGGGGCCTATGTGTGTGACCATCGTGTTTTCTTTTGTATCTAAAGTTGGGCTTGGAATTCTCTCTCTTCCTTAATCACTGTATCACTGACCAGGTCTCAATGGTACTTCTAATTACTAGGGTTCAGATTGCTATAATAATCCTAATTGCTAGGGCTTCGAAAGGTCCAACTACAATCTCATAGCTTAAGTTCAACAATCTAGTTCTTATGTTCAAGCGAGGCACGTAACATTAAGTCAAAATTGTAACAAACAGTCAAATTCCTTTCAAGAGCATAAATAACAGATTGTTGCTTTATCCGAATGAATTTACTGATCCACCATTCACCTAAAGATGACACTGCTAAAAGAAGCATATTTACAACAGCAACTTCCCAGTAAATTGTTTCTCAATCAATCAGCAAAACTTTGGTACAATAAGTGACGGAGCCATACTTTAGCAGTAGCTGTTTTAGACGACTGGCAAAATACTGCATTCGGTGATTTGTGTGATTGCCACTCTATATCTCTCTTTTATTTCATCGCGTGCCCAACCGCCATGCGTTCAAAATATCAATGACTCATCGCTAATGCTGTTACCAAAAGCCCAAGCACGAGAAACGGCTGCGCGCTGGCCTGGAATGTAAATAGAGCAGATTTGAATATCTGATTCTTTGATGGTGCAAAATCAGATTATGTTAAGCAGGGTTTGCAGCAATACCTGATATTTAACATCATACTTGACAGGGTCTTTGAGAAAGTACTTGAACTGCAGAGCAAAAAAATTAGCATAAGCAATGCCGAAATTTTCGCAATCTAAATGCAAGAGCATAACATATACAGCTACCTATCTATCTGTGGTAATAAAAGGAAAACTGATTTAGAAAGAATAACAATCTTTTAAAAGTGATTTACCTGAAAAAAGACTTGGGGAGCTATCAAAGCAACGAGAGCTAAAGCATAATATGGTTTACCAGCCCCTAGCAGATAACCTGCAACCATAACAACATAACCCACACGTCCGATGATCACAAAAACCAGCTTCAACAATTACAATCTCTTTTACCTAAATTGCTCTGCATAATGAACACAACATACCAGCGATTGATAACTGAGTGATGTCAATGGCGCCAACACAAATCCATTTGGCAGTTTCCGAACCGAAAGCTACAGGGAGTGACTGCAAACAGCATGGCAACAATAATGTTACAAAGTATGCATCTAAGATTGTTTACAGTATTGTAAAACAGAAAATAAACGACCTGAAGTCCCATTGCTCTATCTCCTTCAACACTTTTGAAGTCATTTACAATAGCAATTCCCAACTGAAACGTGGCACAAAAATATGCACTGCCAGTTAGATCATCTTTTGTAAACACATGTTAAGATACTTGAACTTCTTTCAGAAACATACCCCAGCTATGCTGTACAAGAGTGTGAGGACAATTATGTCAGGTGTAAGGGTCCCAAATAATGCCTGACCAGCCCACCTATCAATAAAAGATTGAACCAAAATACGTTACCCAACACAGTGAATCTAAAACAGCTTCTAGCAGTTAACCAAACTACAAGAATATATTGGTGACGGTTCTTAATTAATGGGAGCTACATTATAACAAGATTCCCAAGAGGTATCCAATTCAACGAATGAACAGGGATGATGATTATCCAATTCAATGCAGTTCTTGGCTGCATGTAGCATACCAGATAAAACTTCTTTAAATTTCAAGAAAAATCTAGGTACCATAAACAATCACGTCAATCTTAATTACTAAAGGATTCCTAAATCAAATTGCGAGCTCTGAACCCTTATATGAATCATTCAATTTTCGTAAATTCACAAAAAAGAGATCATGTAGAGGATATCGCACCATGGCAAACTGATATAACTTGCTCCAAGGGCAAAATTTCCAATCCATCCATTTTGTTTCAGCTGCAACAACTCATGAAGCTTAGTCAGGGGTTAAGCAAAGTTTTTTCTGGAATATTTGATTTGTTGATAGTGGGGGAAACTTACCTTTAAAGGTGGAGCAGAGTAAATGTATGATAGAAAGGATCCACCCAAAGCAAGGTAGAAAACTATGGGGAACTTATGTCCTGCCTAAAAAGGACAGAAATTCAGGATTGACATTGATCTAAATATTTACATTGGTAAGAAAGAGCCAGTCCATTTCAATTACTTACCCACACATCTAATATACCAGCACAGCTAAGGCCTCCTAAAAGCAGCACCCAGATTTGAGTAATGACCTGAGGGAAAATTTAACAACAAAAGAACAGGATTAAAAATGTAGTCGTCATCTATTTTTTTTAATACAAAACACAGTTAAGTACACCCTTACCTCATTCTCAGATATTGCCCCCGAGGGAATCGGACGATATGGTTCATTAATTGCATCAATTTCTCGGTCATACCAATCATTTAGTGTCTAAAAAAGGCCAGGGAGTTATTGGAATATAAAGACCTCATTAGATCAAAAGCAAAACCAAACTTCGCATTCCAAGTAAAGCATACCTGGGTATAGCCAGTGAGAAAAGGGCCAGACATACACATGCAAACTATTGATTTGGCAACGTCCTCAAAAGTCCAATGAAAATTTCCTGCAACACAAAAGAATTGCCTCAAAAGTAATTTATGAACAGAGAAGAAGTGTAGCAAATATTACTAGAATTGCAAACATTAAATATTTCACGAAGTATAATGAATTCCACTAATATCAGATGACCTGTCAAAAACTTCTGACCACTCCCACACCGTGCTGTTGTCTCAAATCAATAAAATACTCATCACTGGCACTGGCAGTAATACATCCTAAATGAATCTCCAAGTCCATATACTAACCAAATTCATAACATCAATAAATTAATGTGAAGTGGCAGTTCTTTATCCTTAATGGATCTCCAAGTTGAGATCCTGACCAAATTCATTACAAAAGGAAAATATTATTGGCAGTGGTGTGTAATCTTTAAATCAGCAATAAACATTATATGTGTGGTTAGTATAACATTATAGGCTTAACGGACCAAGCCAGAGACAAATCATGAAATTTAGTAGCTGTATTAAAAAGGAAGAAAGGATGAATGGAGAACAGCACACCCCCGATAAGATGATACTACTACTGCAGGAACTTCCAAAGTAAGCCCTTGAAATTGCGAATTGGGAGGAGATGGGAAACAGGAATATTGATGTGCATTATACGTTGTAGGGGACTTCATTAGCTCCATAGACAATTTCCAATCATGAAACCAACAGTATGAGGCAACTAGAAACTATGAAACTATAGATGGTTCGGTATATACAAGGATCGTACCAGAAGCAGCAGCTCCGCAAACTACTCCCCATACCAGGGGAGGCCAAGTTACAGGCTTTGTCAACTGAAGACGAATCTTCCATTTATTCTGTACAGTTCAAAGCACATATTCAAATCTTGTGTCATCTTTTCTTGCAACTATAACTCTATCAACTTAAAATCTACTAGAAGATGAATTTCAACTAAAAATCTGAAACTCCGATTATCCGCCTTAATCGTGTTAAGTATATTATAAACTTAAGCTTCTAGCATCATCTGAAGAAACTAAATTCCGAGCACAGAGAAAAGGTACTAAAACTTATATAATGAGCCAACATTGGACGACTTACAGTTTCTTGAGAAGCTCCTTTAATACCAAGAAGCTGATTGAAGCTCGAACCATTCTTAGCCGGTGCCTTATCGGGTACCTGAGGTTCAACAGCTAAAGAAACAAAAATAGGAACCATAAATCCCCAAAAGCTCTCACCATAATCCACTTCCATTCTATCAAAATTCTCGATAAAAAAGAAATGCAGAAGCTCAATATGATAATATACCTTCGTTTGTATCGGTCTCCGCAGCCCTAACCGTAAGCCTTCTTCCTGAAAAGTTTACAAACTCGTTTCAGTGTAAAGAAAAACAGATAAGACGAAGCTCAATCAGTGAATCTCACTAGTCATTAGATTGCTAAGAAAATAAAAAAGGAAATGGAAGTAAAATTTGAAATAATTGAATAGGCAGCTTGAAAGTGTTCCAAACATTGTTTGCTGGATTTTGACAGACGAGTGAACTCACTGGTAAACGAAACAGAAATCGGCGCCAAATTGGACTGAGTTCGAACTCGGCTGGCGTTGAGTTTCGATAATCTAATGGACGACACCGTATTCAGTACGGACGCCATTGAAGCTGTAAAGAGCTTACTGGTCAAGCAGGGAGAGAAGAGGAGGAGCAAGAGCAATTGCGCGGAGTAGCCGATAACACTACCTGTGATAAATGTTTGACGAAGGGGAGAAAAGAGCGCAGATACGGTGTGCTTTGGCATACGCAGTTTAAGCTGCGCTTGATTACGTGGCGACGTGAGGTTGGTGGTTAGACTTTAGTACCTTACTGGCTTTTGTTGGGACCAGGTTGATTAATAAATCCTCGTACATAGTACAAATGATGCGGTCTGTCGCGTCGAAGTGATCGAAGCTAAAGGAAATTTCTTTTATTTTTGGTGGAATTTTAGATGAGTAATTTCATAATTAATTCACCTGGTTTATAGTTGCTATATCAAGGTCAGCAGCTGAGGGAAGCTTTGAATTCCAGTATGTTTCATGCTTTATATTAAAGTTAAATCTTGTAATTAACTTACAATAATTGTTGTCGACATACCTAGCATAGAGAAAGACAATTAAAAGTTACATTATTGAAAGTGGGGAAGATACTTGCAAATGTAAGAAAACATTTTATTGGAAAAGGAAGGGGGATAGAGAATTATGTATTGGAGAGAAGGAATGCCTACATTTAAGTGTACTAATTTACATACGTGGGTTAAGTCAATTGATCATGGCAGTCAATTCGTCATTTTGCATTTAAGTTTTAGTTTCCATTATTGTAAATTAGATTAATTTTGAGTGATTTTGACTATCGCTTAGAAAAAAGGAAGAGATATAATATTTGAGGTAAATGACCCATGAAGGATCAGTTTGTTAGCTATGGGCCATAAAGAGTAAGCGCTTACTAATTCCAGCCCACGCACATGTTACGCCTAAAAAAGGGCCGGCATGGATGTCTTTCTTTACAACAGACGAAAAAAAGTGGTCTGGGAATTCTGACCCAAAAAGTTGCTCGTAGTCCACTAACTTTTTGGGATTTGGCATCTTTATTGAAAAGGATTTTTGGATTCTACGTTAACAATGAATCAAGAAAAAGGATAGATGGATACAGAATGATTACATTATTGTACAAGCAATGCTTGTCTACATTGACCCCAAAAAAAGCAAAAGCTTGTCTACTGTTGGGGATTCTTACAAAGATTTTCCTACTAGGTCAAGTAATAATCCTAGTGGTTCTCTTGTTCATATAATTTTTAGCTCTCAAAACCCTTTGGCTCTAGTATGGTCCCAAGGAGGCAAAATCATGAGTCGACATGCACAAATTTATTCTATATGATGAAATAAGAATACGAATAATGGTTGTCACTCTTACGTGCATCAATTAACTTAAATAGTTTTATTAACTAATTATTGGTTTAGTGATACTTCTCTTTTCAATGTTGAAAGAGGTCCTAAGTTCGAATCTTCCTTCACAAAAGACAAAGAATCTCATTAAACGCATACACAAACCAATATGCCAATTCCTCTAACTAATAGAGCAAGTGTATATGGAGGTATATACCCCAACACTAATAAAACAAACAAATATTCGTATCAAAGGACTTTTCAAAATTTTGTCACACTAGTATTTTTTAGGGCATAATTGTTGTCCTCATAGCATATGACTCACCTCAAAAGAATAATCCGGTCCTTATGCTACCTCTATCCCAATCTCAGTTTTTGGGTCATAAAAATTCAAAGTCCCCTGTGAATAAGACTTCACCGATCAGTCCAAAAAAGGTACCTTTCTAATTTAGAAAACTTGGCAGCATAAAGGAAGATGCTTGATCCTCAGTCCAAAATCCACTCATCAATAGTTATCCTCCAGAAATTCTCTCCCATTCCCCTATATATTCTTTAACAACCTCCCTATGTGCTTCAAGGGAATGTGATTCCAATTCCACCCAACACACAGGACCTCCTGCCTAATTATAATACAAATTTATAAATAAACCAAATTCTAGACATGTATTTATAAAAAAACACAAACACTATTTAAACATAGAAACACACTCAAAATCAACCCAAAAATCAACAATTGTATATTTTTTAGGTGTGTTTATAAATGTGGGTTTTGAGTGTGTAATGATGGGTTTTTGATGTGTTTATAAAGTGTTTTGGGTGTTGGGTTTTTTTATAATTTCAGCCCCCATTTTAGGTGTTTTAGTGAAACTCCCTAATTATAATTATCTGATACCAGTTTGGAATATCACAAGCCAGAGCCCCAAAAAGAGGAATATTATGGGAATTTTCCCAACTAAAAGGACCTTATGCTAACACTATTTGCCAACAAACAAACCCACCAATCCTTTGCGTAATCATTCATGCTCGCCATTGTTTCATGGAATCAAACCAGCATAAGATGCAATGACATAATATCTTACTGCACATACGTCTAAATTATCTTTTGGTTACAAGCATCGAACTATCGGTTTATCATAATCTTAATTCATTTCTGATAATAAAAAGCAAAAAATCATGTAACCCAATAAAAAAAACAGAGATTATTCCCCAAGTTGTTATGTTTCTCTTTTTCGGCTATATGTTTTTTTGGTTTTTGTGTGGTCTGAGGCTATATGCTTGGTATTTAGTATTTGTTACCACCAACATTCAACAGTGTTTAGTCTGTGCCCAGCCCACTAGGGCACAAGGCGAAAGAGAGTGAAAATTATTTAAAGGTATGTGTCCTTCAACATCAGTACGCAATAAATATAATACATATTGGTGACTAAAAACAACAGCAAAAGTTATTTCTTTAATTAATTTCCAATCACTTTTACACTAGCTAGCTCAAATTATTCTTAACGTATCCATTAGATCTATACTTATATATGCTTTTCACCTTTGCAAATGGTACTTTTATGGTTAAACAACATCAAAAGGTTTAGGAAATTCCAAACCTACTTTCAAGGTGGAAGACACATCCGTCAATGCTACAATAATAAGCAAGAGATTGCAAATTGTGAGGATTGATAACAATTCAAACTCGTATTCAATACAAACACTTGGAAATATCATACTCGTTGACTCCTCAAATATTCATTTTTATTCATTAAGTGACACGTTCGATCATCATTCGTATTTATTACGTAAAATAGCAAAATAAACTAACAAGTTGTTTGATTGGTCATCATTTTCAAGTTCGATAGTGATAATAATATAGTATCAAGTACCAGCAGTTATAATTTCTACCTTACCCAATGACGTGTCAACCAGATGTGTGGTCGAATCACTGAGATCTTGTTTCCTTCAAATGATCTTGGAACAAAAACGAAAGGTATCGATCCCTTTTGTCATTTGTCACACCACTTACACAATGTTGTGGTCCATGCGTTAACGGTTAATTAGGAATTACAATTTACCATGTACCGCATAAGTGATGGGCATTTTTTTTATTTTTAATTTGGGTCGGAATTGATGGGATAGGGAAGGTCACAGGTGTGTCAAATTGTCAACAAGCGATGTTTTGTCGCGACAAGCCTTGATGGCATGCACTAGCCCCTTAGCCGAATTAAAGGTACACGATCATATTTCTAGGTCCGGCTACCATAATACATAAAAATATAATATTGGTTGGGTCATGGTGATCTATTCATTAGTACCTTATATGGTGTAGCACTATTTAAGAGTCGTATGTATCATTTAATGAGTAATAATGACTCAATAAGTATGATGTTTTTATGTGTGCTGAGTACGAATACAGCCCACTCAAGTCTATTCATAATATCTATTCAAGCGTAACCTTTTCACATAAAAGTAAATTTAATCAACCATATTTTGAAATCTTATGTCAGTCTCTGAGCATGTAATTATAACATACATTCTTGTAAAGAAAAACTCAAAACCCTACCACAGTACATTAACACGCCCTCTTTAAACGTTTTGATTGAAGTTTTACAAACCTATCATTCCTTTTCATCAACTAAAACCCAAGCAATATGAGTATTTCATGATTGTGAAACCAGCAACATTAGCATTTCTTGTAGTTATCCTTTCCCTATAACTTGCCATATGTGCATAAAAAATTTGGAAATTAAGCCTAGATGTTCTTGTATTTAGGTAAAATTAACGTGATTGTAACCATACAATTGTTAAAAAAAAATTATTGATGTTAACATTTCTTGGAGTTATACATTATTTTCGTACTTGACACGTGTGCATCAACGATTGTGAAATCATCAATTGACAATACATTTCTTTTAGTTAGATGTAGTCTCTTAACTAGTTGCCTGTAGTCTCTTAACTAGTTGCCATGTTAAGCCACAAATATAACTCATTATGCTGATTAATTACGTTTAAGGTTTGCCACATATATATAATTTGCTTTGTGTCATAAGCTTAATGGTTTTGCAAGAAAGTGCGACTTGGATGAACATATGAATACATGACCGATGATGATTTCTTAATAGTTTTTTTATTTCCTTCGATTTGCTGAATTTGCTTTGCTTTCAACAAGATTGAGGGAATGTCTGGAAATGGTGTTAATCGCCTAATACGATCACATCAATGACTCATCGCTCCAAGATGGGCCATTAAAGGTTAATTATTCCAGATAATTGTTGCCATGCTCCATTTGTGAACGTGGGGTGTTTCTTTCTAATACCAAACAGAAAAGGATTAAGCATTATGGTCGAAATTAACAAAATATATTATATAGAGGAATATATAAGCTATTAGTATTGTATCAAATTCAATTACACATTATAAAAAATTTTAAAAAAAACTAATTAGAAGTGCCCTATTAAAATGTTCTACAAGGGTCGTTGAAACATTTAATTTGATCGGCAATTAGAATCTCGTTAATTATTATGACTCCTATTATTGACACTCCAAAATATTCATCATACACTTTTTTTAATTGAAAAGAGAAAAAAGGAAGCAAAACGATTATCTTCCACTAATTCAGTCCATCATGGTTTCATTAATACACAATAGAAAATATTGTGAAAAGGGAAACTTATGATATCGAATTAAAGAATAATCAAGCGTTTATACATGTTGTACTTGTATCTTCCTATATTGTTGTGCAGTTTTTCGTTGTTTCCGTTATTGCTAAGATTTGCACTAGAAAAATAATGAACATCGTTAGGGTTTTAAATAA